GTTGAGGAAAAACGTTTTCTGAAGATTTAGCAAAAAAAATTATTGAAAACGATGAAGAAACGAGGCCAAACGGACTGTTTTTTCGGCTGCCGACGTGACCGGTAAGCTGGTCGTGGCTGGCCTCTGTTGAGCCACGTTTGTTGGGCTTCCTCTTTTATTTTATTAATGTTGAGCCAAAACTACTTATTTGACTATATTTTAAGACACTTATTGTTTTAACAAAAAAAGTCTATATTTTTTTTTGGGGGGGGGGGAGTATGGGGGGGGGGAATTTTTGTTAATTGATCCAAGTTAATAAATTTCAAATGTAATTAATTAGTTTATATTAACTAATTAATTTAATTTCTAAATTAGTTAATATATTAAATTGAATTAGTATTTAATTATTATATTAATTTATTTTATTTTTTTCAAAATTAATATTAGTTAATTATTTATTTTCCAAGGATGATGCTTATATAAATCATTAAATTGTTTTGATGATTTAAGCGCCGTATTCGAGTAAAGTAATTATTGATACGTTTTAATATAGAGAGATGTGATTATAAGATATTAAAATATTTTTTTGGGACGTTATCGAGTTTTAGACTTGGGGCTTGACTATAGTTAGTCGAGATTGACCGAGTTGACCAAGGGATGACTTTTGACACATTTGACCCCCGTGGATTTTAATGATAGAGTCAAATGAAGTTACTTGAGGCATATTAGGATGCTCAGATATGGAGTTTGACTTTAGGTCGGGTCGGATTGACCATATTTGACTTTTAGAAAAATTACGCCCATTAATGAGATATTACAGTATGAAATGTGTAGGTATTCGGTTAAGAGCTATCAATAGTCAATCTACTCGCAATCAGGTGAGTCTTCATGAGACTTACAATGGAATGCATACCTATGTATAAATTTATTTTCGAGCATTATATGATTTATTTGGTAATGTGTACGTATGCATGATGTTTCAGTTTACATACATGATATATTTTACATGTATGTTATTTTATGATCAGTTGTCTGCTATGTGTTTATTTTGCCTTCAAATAACTATAGCATGTTATTTCATATGAAAGTTTCCTGATCAGTTTTAGAGGGTGAGCATTTGACCAGTAAGTCACATGACAAGTGGCACGACCCCGTAATCAGTGTCTAAACAGGTACAGGTCGGACAACTTAGGGAATGACAGCGACTAAATGACTCATACACGACAGACAATTTATGAGATATATTTTCTTTCAGTGTTGCATGTTTTTTCAGAAAATGCATACTATTTGGTACAAAGTTTACTAGTTGATATGTAATGATCTTTACTCACACAAACCATGAACTCACTGAGCTTTAAAAGCTGACTATAGTATGCATCTTAGAGACAGAAGGTTTCAGGATGGACAAAGAAAAAAAAGGACATACATAGAGACTTGTCTAGTCCATTTAAGTTCAATATTTATGGGCAATCATCTGTGATAGATAAATTTGTAAAACAACCCGGTATGGAATGGGGTGACATTAAGTTATATATTTATTCTTTTAAAGTCTACCGCTGTAAACGGTCTAAAGTTTTAATTCAACCATTACTTTTCGAGTGCTTTCGGAGAATTTGTTTTAGATTACGTAACATTTCTCATGGTAAAATTATGGGTGTTACATTTTCTTCAATTGCTTAGTTTTAATCTTTCAAGGCATCATCATCTTCTTAGTTGCATGAGGAGATATAAATCAAACCCTAGGTTTGGATGAAGAGAAAATTTTCATTCTAGAATGAGAGAGATAGAGATAGTGAAGTATAACTCTAAGGAATAACTCTGAAGTATAACTATAAAGAATGACTCTGAAGTATAACTCTGAAGAATGACTCTGAAGAATAATTCTGAAGTATAACTCTAAAAAATAATTGAAGTATAACCCTGAAAACACTATGAAGAATAATTCTGAAGTAAAACTCTGAAAAATAACTCTGAAGTAAGACTCTAAAGAATGACTTCAGACTTGTACTATTGAAATAACTCTGAAGTATAACTTTGAAGAATAACTCTTAATAATGACTCTGAAGAATAACTCTGAATAATGACTCTGAAGAATGACTCTGAACTCTGAAGTATAACTCTGAAAAAAAACTCTGAAGTGACACTCTGAATAATAACTCTAAAGAATAACTTTGAAGTATAACTCCGAATAATAACTCTGAAGAATAACTCTGAAGTAAAACTCTGAAGAATGACTTCAGACTTGTACTATTGAAATAACTCTGAAGTGTCTGAAGTATAACTCTGAAGAATAACTGTGAACAATGACTCTTCAGACTTGTACTATTGAAATAACTCTGAAGTAATAACTCTGAAGTATAACTCTAAAGAATAACTCTGAAGTATATAACTCTAAAGTAAAACACCATTTTTTTTCGGGAGTCAGTTACCACACGAATTAATTAACCCAAGAAAAAAACAATTGAATCATAAATTAGTGGGATTGATTTAATAAGAGGACACATGTCAATCAAATGAGTATAATTGAACTACTAATGTAAATTGTGTCTAGATACGTACACATGAGTTTAATTGAACTGATAATGTAAATTGTGTCTAGATACATCTTTAGGCGGGAAAACAAGATAATCGCCTCTCCAGAAAACGACACGTGTCACTAAAGTTACTTATTATTATATGTATAGATGTAATGCTAATATTCTTTGTTTAGTTCATTTAATTCTCTAAGTCTCATGCTTGATCCGAATTCTCCACCATATTTCTTTTTCAGTAAAAGAATTAGTCAAGGGAAAAGATCCGGTGAAATAGTTGATTCGGTTGAAGTTGAAGAACTTGATCTGGTTTTTGGTACATGATTTATGATATTTTTTTTTTGTAATCCTTTGGTATGTATATATATTTTAATCATTCCGAGTAGTTATATTATGTTCGGTTGATTTAGGTTCATTCGGTTTGTAAGTAATTAATAATTTTGGTTGTGTTTTACTTTATTGGGTCAAACCATTTGAACATTTTTGGTGGTTTTAAACTAAAGTTTGTATACCAATATGTTTTGGAAGTTTAAAATTAATATTTTGGTGATTATGGATTAATTATACGTTTTATAACCACGGTGCTACAATTATGATAATAAAATTATCCGATTAATGTTTAATGATATGGAATTTGAATGCTTTGTTTAACATATTACTTAATTTTTCGAATATGTTTTTGAAATTGTTGAAGATGGCTTTTATTGTTTGAAGTTTGCCTCCCCAAAATATTTTGTTTACTAATCCTAATCCTCTTACATAATAAAAATACTATATATTGGTTAAGAGAAAAGGCATAAAAGAATTAAAAACTGAGATACATCTTGATAATTTGAGACATGTATACGTGCATACAAGTAATTTGTAACATGCACGCACACATAAAAACCAAAAACAACTTCAATTACTTGTATACATATGTACATACCATCCATATGAAAGATTATCAAGGGTTAATTTTTCATTTTTTTAGAGTTTCACCTGAAACTTTCCCCCTTTCTCTATATCTTCTAAATTAATCACATAACATAACTACTAACTGAAAGAATTGAAACAACAAAGAAAAAAGTGATAGATATGTTGGAACTTAGTATAGTGTAGGAGAATGTTGTCCTACATAGGAGCCAAAACAAAATAAAGTGCACCTAATAAATCCCAATCCTTGAGCATTAAATGAATCATTTAATTGCTTGGGCTTGGTGTGTGGTGTTCTTGGTGGGCTCCTCTTGACACACACACACACACTATATATATATATATATATATATATATATATATATATTAAAATGTCAAGATTAGGTCCTTGGGCTCTTGGGGTCTCTTGGTTAAATTGTTTGGCAGTTTATTTCTATTGCAGTTTTAAGAGATAAGTGCCTGTGTTTTTTATCAATCAACACATACGAAAATCCCAATTCTCTCTCGTTTTTCTCCCCACGAATCCATCATCAAACATTTTCTTAATTCGCTAGATTGAAGTTCAGACTTGAATTGATTGTTGTATCCTCAAGACAAACACTGATTCACCGGTGCAATTTTTGTCTTAGGACGCTGCGTTAAACGCGGGCCTCAATCGAATTTCAGGAACGATATTCGAAACGATGAATCTACGACTACAAGTAAGATTTACGATTACAAGTTATTTAAGTTTTTCGTGTGAAAACTGTATTCGAATATTGTATTTTTCTGTTTCGATTCGATATATACAAGTTGTTACGTGACTTGGTTGTATCATCCCTAACAAGATATATGTGTGTGTAGGGGTGCTCATGGGTTGGGTTGATCGGGTTGAGGACATTTGAACAACCCAACCCAATACTTGCGGTTTAGAAAAAATCTTAATCCAACCCAACTCAAACCAAAGTGCAACCCAACCCAACCCGTACGGGTTGGTCGGGTTGACACTTTGGTATATTAAAATATTATTCTAACATTGAATATGTTATTTCTTTACTCATAATTTCTTTTTCATCATCAACCATTTGATACAACTTATTTATATTTCTTACGTATATCACATTCAGTTAATTTTCTCAATTTACATATATATGTTCACAGTTACTGAATGAGTTATATAAAGATATGAATAGATTGAAAATATGTGTATATGAAAAGCATACATGATAGTGTAATTGTCTAATGTATATATTAATAGAAATTTAACAATCATATTAAATCCAAAAAATAAAAAGATATCGGGTTCATCGGGTTGGGTTGAGTTCAAACTCAATATCAATCCAATACCTACGGTTTGTCAATTTTACAACTCGATTGGACATCGGGTTGCTTCGAATTGGATTATTTCGTATTGGGTTAGATTGGGTTAATCGTCGAATTAGTCGGGTTTTTGAACACCCTTATGTGTGTGTGTATGATACAAACAATTAAAATCGAGGGTTAGATTTGGAATCAACTGAACTTCGAGAATCAACCGGAGCCAGAAACTCTGAAACGACATCGTAGGAAGAGATTTTTGAATGGGATGACACCAAAATGTGAGGCTCAGAAATCTCTCCACACTCCCTCCAATCTTCTCTCTCTCACTCACACACACACACAGAGCAGCCATGCGTCTTCTTCAAGCTCCAGCTTCTGTGCATGTTACTTCACAATGTTCGAAGCTGCAATCCATAGGTATCTTTTAAATCTCTATAGACGTACTATTGTGTGTGGTTTACAGTTGTGATGTTTTCAAGCTTAATTGTGGATGTGTGAAGTAGAGAAACCATAATTGTAGGTGGGAACTTTCTGGAGAGACGTATTCTACAGTCCTTCGTTAATGATTCTCTTCTCTCCCGAAGAATTGTACGACGAAGATTTTGTTTAACATGCCGGAGTGTCAACTCTGTTTCTGCTACAGCTGCTTCTCTTGAAGGTGAGTGTAATTTTTTGTTATTATGTGCTCGGCGTTTCCGGAAGTTAACCTAGTTCATCAGAAGGCTTTAGAGGCAATCAAGTAGGTAAATGTTGAAATTAAGTGATTCAAGAGTATATTTCAACTCGTTTTTCAATTATATTAGTATATTTCAGCTTATGGATAGGGTTAAACTAGCTTTGCCTTTGTTTAAGAGTTAGAATGGTTGAGATGCTTAAGCTTCGTTTTAATTACTAATTAGGTAATGTGTTGGGCAAATGACTAATGTGGTTGTGAAGATTCATAATTTCAATTCTGATGATCAAATTTACCATCAGAACTTTTGATTTTTGAGTAGATGGTACAGACTGGGGGAATTCAAAATTGGAGCTCCAAATATGGGAATTTTGGCCTGACATTTGGTGCCCAGACCAGCTGCCTGTTGAGGCCTTGAGTGGTGGCAGGCCCCTTAACTTCACCCTGAACAGAAGTTATGGTTGTTTGAAGTTGACTTGTTATCCTGCACACTCTCTGCATCACACTGTTCCATATATGAATGTGCCAATTGTGTTAGTTCATCTCCATAGTTACATTGCCTCTAAAAGAAAACTCTCCTCATGTGAGTGAAAGAGATACAGCACTGATGTTCTGCTGCAACACATAACATCTGTGATCAATAGCACCACAATTCGTGGTGAAATTGAGTATGTGGCATATATTTATTTATTAACCTGGATATCCAACCCGYTATGCGAGCCGACTAATCCCAGGGCAACCACGTGCTTTGCGGGTATTCGGGACTCGCTGCATTTGAACCTCCATGGCCACAAGGGGATTCTTATTCCTCCTTGGATTTGAACCTGGGACCTCCTGGTACTTTTGACCTTTGGAGCCAAACTCAAACCAATCAGGCACCACCCTTGTGGTTAGGTTGATATCCGTTTTATGTTTGTCATGATTAGCTTTTGTACTTAAAGTATTTTAATTTTTGACTTTTTTAATCTTTAGCCCCAAGTTTTAGGATTTGTCTTTCCCCCTCTCCTTTTGTATAAATGGGGAGGTTAGGTCTTTTGTAAATGTGTGCAATCAGTTCTAAACTGATTTTGGTACTTAAATTCCAAGTTAGTTTTCAAGTTTCTTTAAATAATGTAAAGTTTGCTGCAACATTACATTCTTGTCTTTACTTTATTCATATTCCTTGCAATTTAATTTCCGCACTTCAGTTTTAGTAATTTAATTTAGGTTATTTACATTCATGTACTTACTTTTTGTCTTTTATATTTCTTGCAATTTACTTTCCTTAATGAATAGCTAATTTTATTTGTTTGGGTGTGAGATAAATGATGAGATTTTAAACTGAAGGAAAGTGGACGTTGTTTCGCAATAACAACGTTTCACTATTTCATTTAAGTTTTATAAAACCAATAACATTTCTTGACAAGTTGATCACTTTGAAAGTGTTAAAGTGTCATGGTCTTAGAGATAAACCAATCAGGCACCACCCTTATGGTTGAGTATGTGGCATATTTAACTTCATGACAAAAGGTTAAATGGGATTCGTGAACACCATTAAATGGTGAAAGTGCATGTACTAAGGGTTGGGACTTGGAAGTGAAACCATCATAGTATTTTTAGGTTGGGACAAGCCTAGTTCCATCATCATAAGTTTGAATCTGGACTTCTCACTTTGTAATTGCATCATATGCAAATTCCTCTTCCTATGCCCATCTAGCTCTTCTTGTTATGCATCACATGGCCATATTAAAAGGTTTCAAATGCTTCCTTTCTGTATGTTTTCACCTACATGCAACAAGCAGCTCCATGTTATATTATTGGTTTGTTTTATTGATCCAATCACTTTGATTGGGCTTGATGATCTGATATGCATATCTTACTATGCTGTTTGTAGCTGACGCCTCAACAATATTAGCTAGGGAAGCTGAAAATGATGTGTTAAAAGCCTTGTCTCAGATTATTGATCCAGACTTTGGGACCGACATTGTCTCATGTGGGTTTGTGAAGGATTTACTTGTTGATGACGCTTCAGGAGAGGTGCTATAGAACAGGATGTGATGAGTTTCATAGACTATGTAAAGATATGTGACCTCACTCAAACATTCAACTTTATATCTCAGGTGTCATTTCGGTTGGAGCTCACCACACCAGCATGTCCAATCAAGGACATGGTAATTGAAACACAAGCACCATTTTTATGAAGATCTGATGTATGTTTATCAAATATTATTCATCACGTGACTACATTTGAAAGAATTACCACTGATTCCCTCTAATGCATTAGATTGATCTGAGAGTAATATGTGAATGAGTTTACTTAAGAATCATGATTTATGAGCAGTGCTTAAATTTCTGGTTGCCATTTAATGGGTGAATGTAACATCATCTTTAAGTATGTTTTTTAGATCTATTATATTTTTCAGTAACAAGAATCAAGTACAAATATCTCCTTTGGTTGCAGTTTGAGCAGCAGGCTAATGAGGTGGTGGCAGCTCTTCCCTGGGTTCAGAATGTCAAGGTGACAATGTCAGCACAACCTGCAAAGCAGATTTTTGCTGCACAACTTCCTGCTGGGTTACAGACAATATCAAACATAATAGCAGTTTCAAGTTGCAAGGTCACAAACTTCCCCAAATAGCTGCATATTATGACTGATATTGTTTCTTATATGAATGATTTTTTACTGAAAGTTCAACATCTTACATCACCATTTGGGCAGTATTTCTGTAATTAAAAGCACGTGTGCTTCCTATGGCTTATGTTAGCGGTAGATCCCTCTTAGGTCCTTGCTATAATACATGTACACTGATGTGTGATTGTGACATGCAAGTACACTAATAGTTAAAAATTAACATGAAGTGTAAGTGGAAGTGAAAGTGGTGACAAAGTCAGGGATGCACCACAAGTAAATACCGAATTGCAGACAAGGCCAGACCATGTTTTGGATTTGACAAACACATCAGCATCAAGGAAAAGATTGTCAAACCCCTGACATACACCATAATGCGGGTGCACGGCACACCATGCTGACCTGTCTGTTTGCTCAACTAGCTGATACACTACAAATACAAGACATTTAGGCTATGTTTGCCCAACTAGCTGATAAGCTAGTTGTTGGCCGAAAAGCTAGCTAGTAGCTGGAAAGCTAGCTGATGAACTGATCACATTAGGCAAAAACATGTGCTTTATACTCATAAAGCTTTGTAGCCAGAAAGGTAGACTGATAAACCATTATTTTGTATTTATGTTACTTGTAATTAAATGGGGTTGTAGGAATTTGAAGCTGAACATAGTGTGCTTAATCGTTTTACAAAGTGCCAAATCACGTGACTTATGTTGAATAAAGTAGGCCTTTTGAACTTTGTTTCATTACATTTTGGTGTTTCTATGCATTTCTGATTACCGTAGGGAGGTGTGGGAAAATCAACTGTGGCTGTAAATCTGGCTTATACTTTGGCTGGGATGGGTGCTAGAGTTGGTATCTTTGATGCTGACGTTTATGGTCCCAGTTTGCCAACTATGGTCTCCCCTGAAAATCGGCTGCTTGAAATGGTAATTGGTTTTCTTTCTTCACACTGAAGGTTATAGCTCCATCTCCATCCCATCTTTCCTCTTTGGTTGCCTCTATTGGAGTATTGTCTTCCAAAAATCATGTAGACATTTTTTCTTTACCCTTCCAATAGAATGCATAACTTTTCACAATTCGAAGTTGAAATAGTTGTTGCTGTGATTTAGCATAATACAAATTCTTCTTTAAGAGAAGTAATTCAAAACGACTATACAGGTTAATGAAAAGCAACTCATTAAACTGTCACGATCAAAGATGGAGCTTATTTGTGATTAAATAGGTATGATTCAATGGATTGGTGTGATCATGATGGATAATTGTTCTTATCCTCTAGAACCCGGAAAAGAAGACCATTATTCCAACAGAGTACATGGGAGTCAAGATGGTATCCTTTGGATTTGCTGGACAAGGGCGTGCGATAATGCGAGGTCCAATGGTTTCTGGGGTCATCAACCAACTACTAACTACTACGGAGTGGTACTACATTCTTCCTATTAAATAAACTATTAAAAGTAATTACAGATAAACTGATTACTTTTTACTACTTTAGCAACTAAATGAAAGTTGTAGCTTCGCATATTTGAATAGTTATCAAATATATAACTATGTTTTGGTGCTCGACTTGTCATGATCTCGTTGTAAATTGACTGCTTTTGATTCGTTTTCTACATTTCATCATTTTGTGTTACTACTTTTGGTCCCATATAATGCATCTAGGCACTGGCACTAGTATTTAATCTTGGAGAAGGCTACCCAACACAATTATTTCCACCACAAGCATCACCAATGCACTGCTATACCTGTACTGTATTAAGACCATTGCATTTGAGTGCTTGTATAGGACAAATATTAAAGCATGTGAGATATTTTTTATACCAATTTCTTGTGATATGTCGCAAAACATTTAGCATAAGGTTTTAAGTTGTAGATTCAGGCATCTATCAGTTCTGACTCCTGAATTGAGTTTTTTGATCTTAACTGATGAGTATTGTAAATAAACAGGGGAGAGCTTGACTATCTTGTTATTGACATGCCACCTGGAACTGGTGATATTCAACTTACCTTATGCCAGGTTCTGCTTCTGACACCCAGCAGTCTCTTACCAGATACTAGATTGTTGTTTTGGAAAAATTGTATCTCCTTGCTATAGCTCCATGTGTTCAGAATTGATCCAATTCATAATATTTTCATTAATTCTAAATTGCACTTATAGGTGGTCCCTCTAACTGCTGCTGTGATAGTTACTACTCCTCAGAAGCTTGCCTTCATTGATGTAGCAAAAGGAGTCCGCATGTTTTCGAAGCTGAAGGTGTGTTTCCCCTCAAAAATATAATTCAAAATACGTTCCTGTATGTAATCCTGCCAACCTCTGTATATGCCATCAGGTACCATGTGTTGCCGTTGTTGAGAACATGTGCCACTTTGATGCGGATGGAAAACGGTTTTACCCATTTGGTAAAGGATCAGGCTCACAGGTAAGAAACCCCTAACTCAATGCTAAAAACTTGAGGTACCTGAATTTAGATTGAAAAAAGCTCATGATATAACTGTAGGTCTTGCTCCCCTGAAAAAGGGGATTATGACATCTAATTATATACATACAGAGGGAGTTTCAAATGCAAACCGTCTAGTTAATACAAACTAGACAAACCAATCTCAACCGTCCATCCCTCTAATAAACATTTGGTTTCATGAATACATCGATTGTTTCGTGATCTAAAGCATTAATTGTAATAAGTGAACTATGTTCATCTTCCATAACATCATAATAGATAAACTCTCATCATTTCCATAAATATCTCATTTGACTGGTTATAGTTTGTAGTAATTAGAGGGTTTGCATTTGAAACTCCCTCTATACATACATACACACACATATAGGGAGGATCAAACGAGAATTCTAACTATTTAAGAGAATACGAGAACGGCCAAATCACGTGCAAAATCACATGTGATTCTACATTGACGGTCAAAAAAGTGTGCAGGAGACCCTATAGCCGCGTCTTCAGGTCGCGGGGCAAAGTCGCTTGAATCACATGTGATTTTGTACGTGATGTTTGTGTAAAATCACATGTTATTCGACCGTTCTTTTATTCACTTAAATAGGTACTGTTCTCATTTGAACCCGACTATTCTCTTTATATGTATACATATATATGTATGTATAGAGGGAGTTTCTTTATATATCCCTCTATACATACATATATATATATGTGTGTGTATACATATAAATCTAATACCTTGATATCACCAGATAGTCATATCTATTTATGTCAACAAGATTTAACCCTGTCCTCTTAGTAGTTTGATCCATTGTGGCTGCAGGTTGTAGAGCAGTTTGGAATCCCTCATCTGTTTGACCTTCCAATCAGACCAACTGTAAGTAACATCTCGAATTTAATCAGCCTCACATTACTGTTCTTCTTATGCATTTGTTCCTACTTTTTCTTGAACCATTTCTTCAAGGTGAAAGCCGTCTAGAAACTTGAAATTTTCCATTTTGGCAGCTATCTGCTTCTGGGGATAGTGGAACACCCGAAGTGGTGACTGATCCTCAAGGTGAGGTGGCTGAGATATTCCAAAACCTAGGAGTTTGCGTGGTACAACAGTGTGCAAAGATCCGCCAACAAGGTAGATTTTCCATGTAAAACTGAGCAAAAAACAATTACACTAACTCACATATCTTTCATCTATGTATTTAGGGTCTGAACAGAACATGGTGCAGAAAATATACTAAAAATGTTTTTTCTTAGCTTGAATTACCAAGTTTGACATAATTTAAGTTGGAAGCTCTATGATATGCTATAAAATACATGTCAWGGTTTGGAATTGTTAAGTAGCTATTTGCCTATTTTCTGTGTTCATTCATCATCTGTAAATGGGGGTGTGTAGGGTAGAGCTTAATATTTACCAAAGCTTGCCTAAAACACAAAACATTTTGCGTATTTTAAAAGCATGTGCTTGTATTAAAAGGAMARCCATCTTCCTTTTCAGTGTYGACCGCTGTGATGTATGACAAGTCTATTAAGGCAATCAAGGTGAAAGTGCCCGATTCAAATGAAGAGTTTCTTCTACATCCCGCCACCGTCCGACGAAATGATCGTTCTGCCCAAAGTGTGGTATGTATTCATGATGAGCATAATTATCTTGAAATTCGTAACTGTAATTAAAAAATGGCACAAGATCGACCAATTGGTTTATGTAAGCCCAACTCATTTTCCAGCCGGTGGAGGCTCATTAAGAACAAACCCCTTTGAGATCTTCCAAACTAATGTCGGATTAAACTATTTTGTAGGAGTGGAGTTAGTTTGATGTTCTTTCATTTTATCTTTGACATATGATCAACTTATGAGCATAGGCTATGTTTGGCAACTAGTTAGTTGAAAAACTAGTTGTTGGCTAATAAGCTAGCTGATAAACTAGTCATATTTGGTAAAACCTAATTGATAAGCTAGTCACTTTAGGTTAAACCTAATTGATAAGCTTGATGACAATGTAAATGGCATGTTAAGACATTTGATTATACCTAATTGATAAGCCAGATGACCATGTAAAATGACATGTTGAAAAGTTACTCAATTCTAACATACAAGGGGCATAATTGGAAAAAGGTGAAAGAAGGTCTTGGAGCTTATTGAAAAGCTATCTCAAGTAGTTTTCCCAAATGCTAGCTTATAAGCTAGTTTATTCCTTACCAGAAAGCGTTTTCTAAAATAAACCTTAAAACATAAGCATGACCTTACTTGTGAATGGCTTCAAGAACAACTATGTGATAAATGTAAATTCATAATGTCCCATGTTGTTGATGACATATTTGTTCTTTCTTAACCGGTAAATATTATTATTGTCTGGGACAGGATGAATGGACAGGTGAGCAAAAATTGCAGTATGGTGATGTCCCAGAAGAGATAGAACCTGAAGAAATTCGACCCATGGGAAACTATGCAGTTTCAATTACATGGCCAGATGGATTTAGCCAGGTAAGCGATCCATGAGCATTTCTGGTCATGGTGGTCGGTTTTTCCTTAACGACGTTTCTTTTCTTGATTTTGTGCTATGCAGATTGCTCCATACGATCAGCTACAAACAATGGAACGGTTAGTTGATGTGCCTCAGACGATACCTTCATAGGTGAGGACTCAACACTGAACATTAACATATATAACACAAGAAACCTACTACACACCGCATTTTTGTCAACTTTGTTGCAGATGAGGTCAAAAATTCACGTAGATATTATTACAGACTTGGAGGATTCTTTGAATCACACAACGATGTTAAAGCAAAGGCCATACATAGAAGCGAATGCTGCAAGAAGGGGTTCCTTTTGTCCTTGAATGTGAACGCCAATACGGTTTACATCATGTCTCATGTATACGTCAATGTGCGTAAAAATGCCTTATATATTGAATCGAAATGTATTCAATCCCCTTGGTATAGCATGGTGGATTTATTTTTCAATAGGTTTAATAGTACATTCCAAGACCATACTTGTTAAATTTCTCTCTCCTTGCAGTTAAGGTAATGACTTCGGGCATGACCAACTCCCATAGTGTGACGAGCGGTGTGTACACGGCTCGGGAACGGATTCACCGCCGTATGACTGACCGACAATTACAAGTGCAAATTGCATTTGCATTGCATTTTGATTTTATTCCTATTTCTTTAACGTATTTTCAAAACCTCTATTTTGGTATTTTAGATGTGAAGTCTCAAATATTTAGACCATAGTCTCTTGCTACAGCCTCCACTTACGTCAATATTAAATGATGTTTGCATCTAAACTAATGAGTTGGTACGAATTGATCGATCGGGCGCTCCAAAAGGACGCAGTGGCATATAATCCAGAACTTCGATGACATTGTTGTAGGCAGACACAAAGCTTAATGTAGCTTAACCTCTCTCAGAAACTTTAACATATCTAGTCACTACTAGAAAACTGGGCATTTCCGGCGGAAATTTCCGGCGCCGGAATTTTTCCGGCGGATTTCCGGCAGAAGTCAAAAAAATTGACTTTTATTGACTTCCGCCAGAAATCCGCCGGAAAAATTAAACTGGTTGCTTTTCCGTCGGATTTGTTAATTAATTGTTAATTAATCTTTAAAAATTAATTAATAACTGAAAAAAAATTTAAATGGATAAATTCCGGCGGATTATTTAAAAAAAAAAAAAAATTAAAATTCTTTAAAATTAAATCCGCCGGAAAATATTTTAGAAATTTTTTTTTTGAAAAATCAAAAACCCTTTTAATCTTTTCCGGCGGAAAAGTAAATATTTTTTTAAAAAAATTTAAAATTTTCGACGGATTTCCGGCGGCATTTTGAATTATTTTTAAATTTTTTATTAAAAAAGAGAAAACATTTTTCCGGCGGATTTCCGGCGGAAAAATAAATAATTTTTTTAAAAAATTTAACATTTCCGGCGGATTTTTATTTTTTTTTATTAAAAAAAGAGTAAACATTTTTTCGGCGGATTTCCGGTAGAAAAATAAATAATTTTTTAAAAATACTTTAATATTACCGGCGGATTTCCGGCGGAAAATTAAAAAAATTATTTAAAAAAGAAATAAACAAATTTTCCGGCGGATAATTAAAAAATTTATTTAAAAGAGAAATAAATAATTTTTCTAAAAAAATATAAACAATTTTCCGGCGGATAATTAAATAATGGACCGTATTGGGCTTTAATGGACCGTATTGGGCTTTAATGGACCGTATTGGGATTTGATGAACCGTATTGGGCTTTTATGAACCGTTGGGTTTTAATGAACCGTATTGGGATTTAATGGACCGTATTGGGATTTGATGAACCGTATTGGGTTTTGATGAACCGTATTCGGCTTTCATGAACCGTATTGGGCTTTCATGAACCGTATTGGGCTTTCATTAACCGTATTGAGGTTTTATGAACCGTTGGGCTTTAATGAACCGTATTGGGATTTAATTACCGGCGGATTTCCGGTGGATTTGGCCGCCGGTAAATTTTTAAATTTTTTTTTTGGAAATCTTATTTAATTAAGTTTTTCCGGCGAGAAAATACTCCGGCGGATTTCCGGCGGATTTTAGTTTTAATTTTTTTTAATTAAGTTAAACCAAGTTTCTTAATTTTTTCCGGCGAAAGATTTCCGGCGGCCGTAGTCCGCCGGAAAAGGGAAAAATCCGCCGGAAAACTCGACGGAAAAAAAATCAGCGGCGCCCTTTTTTCCGGCGGACAAATCCGCCGGAAAACCCAATTTCCGGCGGATTTGTCCGCCGGAAAAGAGGGTAATTTTGGTAGTGTCTTACACTGACGATGTTAACAAAAGTCAACATGGACACATTGAACCTTAATATACTTAAACACATCATAACAACATGAATATAGGTTAACATATTGCTATAGTATTAACATGAAAACTTTAATACATCATAACTCCATAGCAACACAAAATAACCATAACATAACACACTTTAGCACACATTAACACGTGTTAACGAACAGTGCTGATGCAGTGGCTGAATGACCGATCTACCCCTTCTTCATTTTCAACAACGTGTGTGCCGGTGCATCTTCGTGACAGACGGTCACGGGGTATTTTATGGTTCCTATGGATTTTGGATTTCCCCTATGAACCTGACCCTTAGATCAAAACCCCCTTAATAATATTTACATTTATCTCTATTCCTATCCAACGATGTTGTAAAATCTCACACCCGTCTCATCTTTCGTTTTCCTATCCATCATGATACTTGCCTTTCAATTTTGGAGCTTGTAGTCATTCCAAAATAACACAACTTTAATTGCATCAAATACAAGTCATCATAATAATATTTAATCGATTATTATTCTTTTTGAAGTAAAAGAAAGCCGATAACAAATTACATACCAAACAGTTCGATCACAACTCCTGATTCAGATAACAAATTAAGCAACTCGTTATTGCACCACGACCCGTTAACGATACAAAACACAATCAATCAATCAATCACAAGTCCAACTGGACATCAATCAAAATGACGAATTAATTTGAACCAAAACAAAAGTATAAGATTTTGCAACATCCATAATATACGTATAATCGTATATGAATATGATGTGAAAAGAAAGATCTGATATCAAGCTTTTGATGCATAAATAGTTGGCTAATAAATGTCCATAACATATTCATCACATAAACAAATCTAACACCAACCATCTATTAAATGATCTCACCTATCTTGTGATGCTACCATTAAAGACAGATGTATAGTTATCATAATTAGCAAAAGCTCTTCTGCCCTATTTATTCCGAATTACATATGTGAAAAGAAAATTGAAAACAGGGTGTCGCTTTAAATTTAAGAGTTTGATTTCATACGTCAATTGTGACATCTTATTAATCGGTACTTTATCACATCTCTAGAAAAACCAGAGTTCACGAGAACAGATATCGACATTTAGATGTGCAACTTTGTATCCACACAAAGATAACTTTGCGTAAACAACCTTCAATTGATTACAAAATGATTTTTTCCATAAGTATTATATATGAAGCGATATTCTTTTGTTAATCGTGGGTGTCAGGACCAACTTGTAGACACGTCGACTAATTCCAAATGCTCTGGAGAACGACTAGAAAAATCTCCAGTTGCCTTGAAGAGCTCGAATCAGTGACTTCTGAGAAGAATCTCAAAGGCCCGAACCTTATTGTCAGTTGAGCTAATTCCACAACGTTTTTTATGGAGCGACTTTGTTTAATATATTCTTGGATTTTTTATTCCGAAAAATATATTATGTTTCAAATTGTATACAACATAAATATATACAACTTTATAGTAATGTTTCAAAGTAATTGTTTTTTATTTCAATGTTTGTCTAAAAAAATAAAATTTATTTTTTAAATGCGACATGTTTTTAGAAATATTGTTTTCTAAAATTTGGTTATTTTTATTTCGTAAGATATTTTCTTAGTAATGCAAAATGTAAAATTATATTATAAATATAATTTCCATTTTTATTGCCATATTTCTAATTTCTTGCCTATAAGACAAAACTTTCATTTTTAAGTGGATGAGTTATTCAAACACTCTTTGTCTTCTACACTTTTCTGTAATCAAATTATATGCGATTTTACATATGATTACAAAACATGTAAATGTAAGTGTGAGCGGGCCACCTGTCCTACGCCTCAAGTCACAGTCAAAGTCGCATAAATCACATTTGGTTTAACATGTGACGTTAGTGTAAAATCATATGTGATTTGATTATTTTCGTTTCTTTTATTTAGTTAGTGTCATCATATTAAACTAACTAACTAACTAACTAACTATATATATATATATATATATAATGTAGATAATTTATAAGCTCAACCATTAGTACAAACCTTGCAAGCTAATAAATCGTCCATCCATCTAGTCTAAAATGTATACGGTTCAATGAATATCTCAACTGATTTATGATATAAAATGTTGAATGATAATAAATGATTTGGTTAACCGATAATTATGGTAACTATCAACTTCCTAATTTGTTGGGATATTCTTATTGGTAACCGTTTAATTATGGTTTTCTTTTTCTATTTTGTTTAGGTGTTCTTGTATTTTTTTTATTCTTTTCGTCAATAATTTAATTATGGCAATTTATTTTTATTTCATGTGAAAATGCATATGTTTCATGTATTTTTCATCTTGATGAAATTGTTTCATAAAATTGTTTAATCTGATGAAATTGTTTCATGTAACTATTTCCATGACGCTGTTTAATTCGATGAAATTGTGTCATAGATTAGTAAAATTGTTTCATGTAATGGTTTACCATTTTAAAATGGATTACTAAAATAGTTTCATTTAAAAATAGAGTAGTGAAATAGTTCTAATGAATAGTTTCATTTAAATTATGAAAAAAAAATATTCTAAAAATTGTAAAGGTAGTTTCGTAACTTTTACAAATAGGCGACAAAATGTTCATATATGAGTCAATGTGATTCATATATGAATTATATGTTCATATATGAGTGTAATTCACATATGAACTATTTTAACTGATTCACATATGAACTAATTAACTGATTCACATATAAACCCTTGTGATTCACATATGAACCCGTGTAATTCACATATGAACTAACCAACTAAAATTTATATATGAACTTGTGGGTTCATATATGAATCAATTAAATAGTTCATATGTGAACTGATTAACGTGATCACATATGAATATATAATTCATATGTGTATCATGAAGGTTCACATATGAACCCGTTTGCCGCCTATATGTAAAAGTTATGAAACTACCTCTCTATCTTCTGCATACTATGTGAAGAATTATTCGGTGTATCAAGGTTAAATGTTAACGAGATGTAGGGTTAAAATGTTTACAACTTCTCAAAAAGGCTGAGGATCGTAAGGACCAATCTCAATCATCTAAGGGTTTTAATCAAAGGCCATTAAATATAAATATGGTGGCATCTTTTGTAATATTTGTAAAAGTCATTTCTAATCTCACATCTAATTTGAAAGTTCCAGGACGAACTT